GCAGTTTCTGCACCCTGGCTCCTGTGACCCCTTTTGATGCCTGACTTTGCCACCTTTTCGCGTCTGCTTCTCCCTTCTAGCTGCTGCTGCTGCTGCTGCTTCTCTGTCTCCTTCTTCTTGTCTCACTTTGTCACCAAGGCTGGAGTGCAGTGGGACGATCTCAGCTCACCGCAACCTCCACCTCCCGGGTTCAAGCAATTCTCCTGTCGCAGCCTCCCACCTAGTTGGGACTACAAGTGTGTGCCACTATGCCTGGCTAATTTTTGCATTTTTAGCAGAGATGGGGCTTTACCATATTGTCCAGGCTGGTCTTGAACTCCTGACCTCATGATTTACCTGCCTTGGCCTCCCAAAGTGCTGGGATTGAAGTTGTGAGCCACCGTGCCCAGGTACAACTGGCTTCTTTACTGTCCTGCAAGGTGTCTCCAAGTGGCCAATGAGAAGCAGTGGTCCTCAAAGTGACTTAAATGGTGCATGGCCTTGCTTTAACAACATCGATTTATATAGGGAGGGATTTGTTCCTTTTCTATTTTTCTTTCTTTCATTTTTTGATACGGAGTCTCGCTCTGTCACCCAGGCTGGAGTGCAGCGGTGTGATCTTGGCTTCATTGCAACTTCTGCCTTTCAGATCCAAGCGATTCTCCTGCTTCAGCCTCCCAAGTAGCTAGGACTACAGTTGCACACCGTCATGCCCAGCTAATTTTTGTATCTTTTTAGTAGAAATGAGGTTTCACCATATTGGTCAGGCTGGTCTTGAACTCCCGACCTCATGATCCACCTGCCTCAGCTTCCCAAAGTGCTGGGATTACAGGCATGAGTCACTGTGCTCAGCCCCCTTTTCTATTTTTTGTCAGAGCTAATAAATCACAAGGGGAAAAATCTTGGCTGGGGACTATACTAGGACACACGTATAATTCTTGCCAATTTCCCCTATTTTAAGAGTAATAAACTGGCCAGTCATGATGGCTTACACCTGTAATCCCAGCACTTTGAGAAACCAAGGCAGCAAGATCTCTTGAGACCAGGAGTTCAAGACCAGCCTGGGTAGCATAGCTAAACCTAGCCTGGGTTTAGCTATGCTAAATATCAAAAAATAAATTATCAGGTTGGGTGCAGTGGCTAACGCCTGTAATCCCAGCACTTTGGGAGGCCAAGGTGGGCGGATCATGAGGTCAGGAGTTCGATATCAGCCTAACCAACATGGTGAAACTCTGGCTCTACTAAAAATACAAAAAGTTAGCCATATGTGGTGGCAGTCACCTGTAATCCTAGCTACTCAGGAGGCTGAGGCAGGAGAATCACTTGAACCTGGGAGGCAGAGGTTGCAGTGAGCCAAGATTGCACCATTTCACTCCAGCCTGGGTGATGGAGTGAGATTCCATCTCAAAATAAGTAAATAATCTGGGTGTAATGGCACACACCTGTAGTTCCAGCTACTTGAGAGGCTGAGGTGGGAGGATCATTTGAGCCCAGGTGATTGAGGCTGCAGTGAGCTGTGATCGTGCCATTGCACTCTAGCCTGAGCAACAGAGTAAGACTCCATCTCAATAAAAAGAGCAATAAGTGATCCAGGTTTTATTTCTAGATTATATTTTAATCCAGCTATTTACTATCACATCCACCATACTTTCATGCAATGCCTCTGCTCACTGGCTTCCAGGCCTCCATACGTGGTTGGCTACATTCAGTTCTCTTCCAAGTAGCCATTGTGAGCTCACTAAAGCTGACATCATCTATCTCATAACTGTTTAAAACCCTCATCTGTGGCCAGGCATGGTGGCTCACTCCTGTAATCCCAGCACTTTGGGAGGCCAAGGAGGGTAGATCACCTGAGATCAGGAATTTGAGACCAGCCTGGCCACCATGGTGAAACCCCGCCTCTACTAAAAATACAAAAATTAGCCAGGTGTGGTGGCATGTGCCTGTAGTCTCAGCTACTCAGGAGGCTGAGGCATGAGAATGGCTTGAACCTGGGAGGCAGAGGTTGCAGTGAACTGGGATCAAACCACTACACTCCAGCCTGACCGAGCAAGACTCCATCTAAAAAAAAAAAATACGAATACACACACACACACACACACACACACACACACACACACAAATTAGCTGGTCATGGTGGCACACACCTGTAATCCCAGCTACTTGGGAAGCGGCTGAGGTATTGCTTCAACCAGGGAGATGGAGGTTGCAGTGAGCTGAGATTGTGCCATTATACTCCAGCCAGGGTGACAGAGCAAGACTCAGTCTCAAACAAACAAGCAAACAAAAGTCCTCATCAGCAATGGAGGTAAAATCCAAACTCCCTACCGTGGCCTGCAGGCCCTCACCTGCCCCTGTGTCCCAGCTGCCTCTATGATCTTACCTCCCTCCACTTCCCCTCTGGGCCGAACACCTTTCTGCTCTCAACTTCTTCTTTTCTAGGTAAGGCTTCTTCTGCCCATGGACAATCAGAAGATTTTTTTTTTTTTTTTTTTTTTGAGACAGAGTTTCCCTCTTGTTGCCCAGGCTGGCGTGCAATGGCGTGGTCTCTGCTCACCTCAACCTCCACCTCCAGGGTTCAAGCAATTCTCCTGCCTCAGCATCCCGAGTAACTGGGATTACAGGCATGCCCCACCATGCCCAGCTAATTTTGTTTTAGTAGATTCGGGGTTTCTCCATGTTGGTCAGGCTGGTCTCAAACTCCCAACCTCAAGTGATCTGCCCACCTCAGCCTCCCAAAGTGCTGGGATTATAAGCATGAGCCATTGCATCTGGTCACCAGATGATTCTTTTTTTTTTTTTTTTTTTTTTGACAGAGTTTCACTCTTGTTGCCCAGGCTGGAGTGCAATGGTGCGATCTCAGCTCACCATAACCTCCGCCTCCCGGGTTCAAGAGATTCTCCTGCCTCAGCCTCTCCAGTAGCTGGGATTATAGGCATGTGCCACCACGCCTGGCTAATTTTGTATTTTTAGTAGAGATGGGGTTTCTCCATGCTGGTCAGGCTGTTGGTCAGGTGATCTGCCTGCCTCGGCATCCCAGAGTGTTGGGATTACAGGCGTTAGCCACCGTGCCCAGCCCACCAGATTTTAAGGGGCACACAGATTCCACTTAAAATGACATTGAATAATAGAGTGAGAAAGTGGTTCTTCCCTTCTCTGTCCTCTTTGAATTTTTCTGATTACATCAAAGAAAAATTCTATTAATGTGACTATCCCTTCAACACTTGCTAATCTCTGATTTTTACAAAGTGCCCAGACTTTCAGCTTTCTGCATTCATATCTAGCATGATTATGTTAGGTTGGTGCCATTAATTTTTTTTTTTTTTTTTTTTTTGACAGAGTCTTGCTCTGTCACCAGGCTGGATGCAGTAGCTCAATCTCAGCTCACTGCAATCTCCACCTCCCAGGTTCAAGGGATTCTCCTGCCTCAACCTCCTGAGTAGCTGGGATTACAGACGTGCACCACCATGGCTAGCTAATTTTTTTAGTAGAGACAGGGTTTCACCATGTTGGTCAGGATGGTCTCGATCTCTTGACCTCGTGATCCAGCCACCTCAGCCTCCCAAAGTGCTGGAATTACAGGCGTGAGCCACCGTGCCTATCCCGGTGCCATTAATTTTAATGGCAAAAACTGCAATTACTTTTGCACCAACCTAAAAACATTTCCACTGTATTTATTTTATAGATACCTTCTAATAAAGTGGGAACTGATTGATGTAAAGTAATGCTATGATGTTGCCCTTTTAAATAAATGTAGTCAGGCTTTTTTTTTCTTAAATGAATTGATTTAAAGATACTAGGCACAGTGTGTGTATGTGGCTAACATTCTGAAACTGAGATTCCAGAGACAGCCGCTTCTGAAACATCCAGTGGCTCTTAATGAACCCCTGGGCCAGGTGCTCTGATTTTTGTTTGTTTTAAGACAGGGTCTCCAGGCTGAGTGCAGTGGCAGGATCACAGCTCACTGCAGCCTTGACTTCCTGGGCTCAAGTGATCCTCCCACCTCAGCCTTCCAGGTAGCTGGGACCATGACTCGTGCTACTAGGCCTGGGTATTTTTTTTTTTTTTTTAAGAGATGGGTTTTTGTCATGTTGCCCAGCCTGGCTCAAACTCATGGCTGCTTCCACCTTGGCCTCTCACAGTGCAGGGATTACAGGCACGAGCCACTGTGCCTGGCCTGGTTTTGTTTTTTCAGTGATATGGGAAGTTATTCAGCTAGGTGTGAGTGAGGAACTGGAACCTTTCTCCTGGACCTCCATGCATGAATTTGGGAACTTCTTTCTCAATCTCAGTCTATTTTCCTCCAACGTTTAGGGTCTCTGTTCTTTTCTGTGCAGCCCTGACCATTACATGTGCCCTCCACGGTTGTGAGGGATGGTGGTTTGGACACAAAATACCTAATATCCTGGGTGTCAAAATTCCCTAGTGAAGTCAGGCCCTGGGCTTCTCTGTTTTGTGAGTCTCATAAATCAGGCAGACATGAGCTGTTATTTGTGGATGCAGAAAATAAACACCCTAGTTCACAGTTTTGCTCAGCCTGGCCACTGAAAGAGCCACCTAAAGAAAATCTCAGGTCCAAAAAAAAAATTGGCCTTCCAGGGCCCCAACACCCTTTTTATCAGTCTAGTAATAGCCTTTTGTCAGCCTAATTTCCTTTTCTTTTTAATCTGAATGTATGGTGTAATATGCATAAAATACACAAGTCCACATCTTAGCATTCCGTGGACTCAAAATGTGCCAACTTTGCTTCAGTAATATATTAGTAGTCAACTTCTCTATACATCAAACATTCAGCAAATTCAAATATTTTCCTCAAAAGCTGTGTGACTTTGGCCAAATTATTTAACCTCTCTGAGCTTCACGGTGTGTACTTCCTCATGTCATGATTAAAGGAGATTTAGTATCTGCTGCCTTACAAAAGGGAAAAAAAATTAAACGAGATGATGGGTGTGAAGCAGTGTGTGGCTGAACATAAGCATTCAATAAATACTCAGTTTTAAAATTGTACTCTCAGCAGTCGCGCCCTGCAGAGGCTAAACCCTGGTGGGACCGAATCTCCCGAGTCTCTGCCGCTTCCCCTGATCTCTTGCACCAGGTCAATCCTTCCTTCACCCAGGGTCTACTGAGCGCCATCCCTCCTGCTGGACGCTGGCTACCCGAGTAGGGATCAAGCCAGGTCCCTGCCATTCCCCAGCACGCAGCCGAGTAGGAAAGCAGCTCGCAAAGCCAGCGAACGGGCAGCGATCCAGGTGTGTACCTGGTTTTCTCAGGGCAGGCGGGGAGCGCAGGTCTGTGTCTGACGCGGTGCCAGGGGTTCGGAGCGGTAATCCAGGAATCTGGCACTGCCCGTTTAGGAGCGCGGGCGCAGGAAGAGAAGGGGACTCTGGGTGCAGCCCTAAGGCCCGGGAGGATCCGCGGGAGGCGGCAGGACCCAGGGCCTTGAATGCCGGGCCGCAAGATCGGCCTCCTCCCGTCCGCGAAAGGAGCCCCGAAAAGCTCGTGCCCAGGAGGGAGGCCTCGGCCTGGCCGGTCACCTTGCAGGAAGGGTCCCGGACAGCGCAAAGCCAATGCAGGAGGCGCCCCGCCCTAGCGGATGGGAAACGCCCCAGCCGCTGAAGGCGGAAGTAACGGCCTGCAGGCTACGGAACTCCCGGCGTTCGCAAGGGCGGGAGGAGCCGGAAACTCCGGGCGGGAGGCCTGTGGGCCCAGCGGTGCGGCCGCCGCCGAGGGGGCGGGCCCAGCTCTCCCGAGGCAGGTGATGGGTCGGCCCCGGTGGCGGCGGCGGCGCGCGCGACGGTCCCCTCGGTCTGGGTGAGTCCCTGGGCGCGAGCCCGGTCCCCGCTAGCTCCTGAATTGCCTCTCGGCGCCGGGCTGTGACTCCCTCTGGCCGGCCCGGACTCTGGCTCCCGCGGCACCGTCTGGAGGGATAGAGCCGGGCCGGGGCCTCCTTTCGGGAGCGTTTCCGTTCTTCTCTTCGGTCCTGCCCGGCCAGGACCCCTCAGGGACTTTTGTGGGGCAGGGGCGAATCGTGCGTGGCCTAGATGACCCCAGGCCTAGAAGAAGGCAGTGCGGGGCGGTGGCGGCGCGCACGGCCGAGTGGAACTGAGAGCGTCCCCGGGGCGGGAGCCCGGTAGCGGGGGCAGGGAGACTCGGAGGCTGCCGGGATGCGGACCCAGGGGACGCCAGGCCGGAGTGCGGGAGCCGGAGACGCGAAGGCGGAGCGGGAACGGGATGAGGGAGGGGGCCAGACTGGGAGAGAGGGTGGAGCAGGGGCAGGTCCTGGGCGGGTCGGACTTTAGGGAGTGGAGAGGAGGATCCTGGTGGAGAATAAAACCAGCTGCGCTGAGGCCCGAACACTTGGAGGCAGCAGGGTCCTAGGAAAAGGTTGAAACAGCAGGAGCCCGCCAAGAACCGCCGTGAAGGAGGGTAAAGGAACCGCCCCTGTATCCAGGA